CAACAGTTTGCAGTATTCATAGTCAGTTTATAGGAAACTTTATTCTTTCTTCATTTTCACCAACTGACCCTTCACGCACAATAGCATGCAGTAACTACATGCATTGCAGCATTTAAACATGAACATCACAAAATCCCTACAGATAGGACCATCTATGCTATTCTTCCTGCCCTAATGCACACTGATATCAACATAATCTGAAGCCAGTTTATGCACTGAGCAATTACAGTGTCCCGAAATTCCATGTGACAATGTAAATTAAACTAGTATCACATCTTCGCTTGAGCCATTTTAACTAGTAACCTCATCGAAATGGATATCATCATCGCTGATCTCATTCATCGCATGATCTCTTCGATGCGTTATGAAATATTTCTATCATCACGAATGGTCAACATCCTCAAAACGTGCATCTAACTTATTTCTGTGGGCTATTTCTCTTTTATTTTCTCTTTCTCATAGAATAACTGCTATGACGACAACCATTGCATGTAGTCAATTTATAACCTTAAGATCTAAAACAACTCGCAAACAACAAAGCTTTAAGGCTCTAAAACGCAAATAATAGTCTTTCTATGCGAAATTTGTTATAAAGGATGACTATTTTAGTAATAATTCCTCTGGGATATCAAGACACTATTACGCATTAATACGAACACAATGCATGCAAAATATTGCTTTTTTCAGCTACAGAAGCCTAAAAATAGTCAAATATAATCTATTTTCACAAAAGTGAACCATTATAACGTCCCTATAGGCGTGGACGCGATAACCCATACAGTGCGCAAAATTATATCATGATAACGTTTATCCTCACCCAAACAAATCGAAGTCCAGTTGCATAGTGAAAGAATACCACGATGATGAATAATAAAATGGGTGACTACAGTGTTCCCGAATGACTTGTGCTAACATTTTATCCATCTAAGTCGTATCAACTGCATTCACACTCAACTGCAGATATGTGGTATTACTGTTTAACTCGAAGCGTAACGTTTAACCCAATGGAGTGAGCGCATGAGATTCAGTAAATATTGAGGCCTCGCAGCGAAGTAGAAGATCATAGCCTATAATTACGTCCCATGACATTTTATTAACTACTTAACTGGAATGCCATATGCAGTCATCTCTACCATGTTATCATTTTCGCAGCTCCCTGAGTACCTTCATTATGGACCCACTGGCCAATTGAAGTTATAGGTGAGGAGTGTGTGCCAGTAATTTGTCACTACATATCTGCCTGACAAGACGTGCGAACTGCATCAGTACCTAACAAGCTGGTGAAGGTGTGGCGGTAAAGAATTCCCCAAAATTGTTGACCACAGCAATCACCACTGAACACTGGATGCTGACCCTCACTGTTTAAGTCAACTTGTTTAGCTGAAGGCTTCCGGTCAAGCATCCATGCCATTCGGTACTCCGTCGTGTCAAGTTCGTACACGATTACTAGCCAGCTAAGCATTCGTCCCGGTCTACGATTTAGTCCCGAAATATATCTCCTAGTTTGGACGATCAAATAGTGTCTTTTGCTTTGCTTTGGTCCACGATGAACGAATACTGTAGAAGTTGTTGGTATTAGATCTTGCGTTAGTATACTCTGTACAATCCGTGAACGTTGATACCGTCAGCTTCTAAAAGGGTTTTGCCTTGGGATCTTACTACGACGGTCGGTAAGTGACTAGTTACACATGAAGCATCTGATATCTGCATTATCTCAGGTACAACAAGTAGAAAGTCATCATTTCCTCTTGAAACGCGACAGTTCGTCCAGCCCGAAATCGACCGTGATTGTTCTGTGGGATAAACTGCGTCGCAGGCACATCTGGAGAACTGTCGCGGTCTCCACTCTAGACCGCTGTCTCTTGACATGGTTCTCTGGGCGGTGACACCGTACATGACCATTCCATCTCTTCCTGGTTCCTATAAGGCTTTTGAAGCGACTCTTCTGCCTTCGCAGTATGTAGTGCCTCTGCTGGTGATGTGAAACTACTCTCTTCCCTCTTATAACTGGTGTAAGGTATGCAAACTGACGGCTTCTGGAGAGGCTCCGCCAAAGGCTCAGGGGGCTAGTTCTTGTAAATGCCACATGTACTCTTCGGCATCTTCTCCACAGAGTTGAATACAGGTGTGAAAGTTGGCTCAGTGCCTGACGACATGACATTGAGGAGCAAATGAACGATGCATGGACTTAAACAATCCCCCCACATAAGCCGCCTCTGAAATGCTAACGCCGGCTACCTTGAGACATTACAAAGCAGGTAGCGAAAGCGACACACATGTATGGTGAAGCACAAATTAACGGAAAATACGTGTGAATTACAAGAATATGGGAATAATAATAAGGAACCGGTTAAAATGGTTCACACAAAACCGACAGGCGCTGATTGTCAATCTTCCTTCTATTAATAGTCATTATAACCGCATGCCTATTTCTTTTGCAGGAGTGACACGACAGAAGGAAGAACGCAATATGGAAGCAACTGAGGACAGATTTTGTGAAGTGAGGGGTTGGTGTAGTGGTTGAGACGGTGAAAAGGAGGGCTGTAGTTTCAAAAACGGAGGCCTCTGAGCAACAACAGCCTAGCTGTTTTATTCCTCAAGACTTTAGTGTTACGCCTGTACCAAGATTACTATTACTGATAAAGTATCTCAACCGATATCTGTGTTCTGTTTTTGAGATATATTTTGCTTTAGTGTGCTTGATACCTCATTGCCCGTACTGTCTATTACACGTGTGTGCATTATAACCACGCGGGAAATTTGTCATTAAAACGAAGATGTCGACTAAAATGAGCCATTTCTATATCCATCAAAAAGTATACAAAGTCATCAGTCTGGACTCTACAGAAGTGGTAAGGAAACACAAATCAAAATTTAAAACAAGCAATAAAGGTTAATAAAGCAGAATTGAATGAATTCATCGAATTTCGGTAGAACTCGTCAGCTGAATACTCTACATACACTGATATATATACTTTTGAAATTACATTGGGAGATATAAGACTGATAAGTAAACAAACTACATTGAATTAGTCATGCAGAAAGACAGGTACGAATGTTTTCCAGGTCATGTTCAAATAGATAAAGGGAGAGAGAGTATGAGAGATCAAAATTAAGATAAATTGCATTACGCTTCAATTACATCACTGAGATAAACAATTAGGCATTAGAGAATATAAGAAGAATTGCAAACAGAGTAATATCAATAGTAATAGTTATAATAACAATAACACTATTATTAGTGTTGAAGTGAGTTAAGATAATCCTACTGATAAAGGATAGTTTTAAATGAATCAAGAAAAATCATAATACTGATAATAATAATAAGTAAAACGTATTACCATGGTAGATTCAGAGTCACGACCATCTCCTTTTGTACACAGAGACCTGGTTTATAAACTCTAATTGCACAAATCAAAATGGCCAAATTATTTAGGGACTTGTTCGAAAGAGCAATATATTTAGGCAGAAGAAAGGTTAAAGTTATTTATAAGAAGGTTTTATAACTTAGGTGGCTAATATGGCTGGCTGAGCTAGGGTCCGCAAGAATGTATGTATTAATTATCACTAGGGAGGTATGATTTCGCGTTGTCGTTAAAACAAAACATAGAACAATTTAGACTTTCGGAGTTGACACAGAAGTTTATTTAGTCAGCTTTTAGTTAATTCAGCTTCATGCATTTATTTCAACTCCATTTGTGGTTTGTTCCCAGGATAGTAACTAATCCTGTAAGTTGCCTAATTTCCTCATTTTTGAAGTCATGATTGTTCGTCTTAAGTATACCAGGTATTATCCCATAAAACTAACTGATATCCATCGATTGATGGGAGAAGAATTCCAGGAATCTTTCCAATATTCACTGATTGAAAGACATTCCCTTTAAAAGATTTTAAAACACATTTATGAGTAGAAAGTAGACTCATTTTCATGCGAAATTCATTTGAAAATTGGTAGAATGAAAATCTTTGGCTTGTCCAACTTATCGCTACAATTGTCATTATCGTCAAAATTGGGTGATGATATCCGTTAGAGCGTGTTAAATCTTCCGTGCTAAAGGGCTTTCTCAGCTTTGATTGGCTAGAACAGTGGCGGCCAGTTTGATATTTAATTTGTCCTAGGTAGGTAATCTAGTGTGCAGGTTTGCGTGGTTGCGGCATGCGTTGTTTGCAAGCATGTTTGATGAATATAAATGTAACATTTTAGTATTCTAACGTTTACTTTTACTTATTTTGTGCATGAACCAGGCTTGGTTTATCGGTAAAGTACTACAATAGAGTCCCAAGGAACGAACGCACAAGTGACCTTGAAACAACCAGTCAAAAAAGGATGATTTTTGCATAAAATTTTACGTATTTTCGCATAAATAAGCATGAAAAAATCAAACAGGGTACTTTTCTGTAGTATGAGATAAAAAATGTTCCAATTATTAAGAGGAGTTTCAGTTTTTAAATTAAACCAATTTCTATGCATATATTCATCCAAATGACTGAAAATAACTTCGTTTTGTGATCCGTTGATAGCTCGGATTCTATTTTTCAGTCTTCCCCAGAAACCTTCGATGGAATTATCATGAGTACCGGTGACAGGGTCGACGGAATCATTCGAATGGTTCACTCTATGATGTATATATCCCAATTGCGATAATTGGCTATATCCCGCCCATTCATCTGTGTGAATGGTGGTGCCTGGTAACACTAGACGCTGAATAATAGGGAGGAGTGTATCAGCACTCCTATCTAGAATCAGCTCCATAAACCCTTTGCGAATCTAGGTGTCATAAATTCCTAAAACCCAAACGTTATTCGCTCTGGCACCCAGTAATTGGACAGTAACAAGATATTCAGGCAAAGTTAAACTTTCGACACCAAAAACAACCAGTCATCAAAGACAGTCTCAAGTTTCCAAAGAAAGTTCCTAGAAGACAATTAATTCAGTGTCACTTACCAGTACGCACAATTATTCGCGCTAGAATAATGGTGAGCTTCCTGAACTAATGACTAGCATGCGTTCAGGGTCATTGGAACATTCACAAGGTCATTGGAACATTTACAATCCTGGGACTCTATTGTTGAAATTCGCCGGTTTATCATACACTCGGTTTGTTGGCCTATCGGTTGCTGGCGATGTCAAGGAATCCGTGAGTTCTAGGGCTTTTCTCGATTTTAGGTTATGCATGTAGCATTTTATTGATGGATATTGCGACACAGATGGATGCTAATTGACAACGCCTTTTTAGTTTATTGCAGGTAGGCAATGCGGGTGAAAGTACTGCTGACGTCGGTGGAATTTTCGATGAAATTATGCTGGGAAGGCGTTTCTTTAGCTGGGAGGAATTTGAGAATTCCTTAGAAGAATTTCAAAAAGTGAGGAAGTCATTTAATGCTAACAATGTAGTTGTCCTGCACTCACTATGTGCATATTCAAAGCAAAACAACAGGGGAAGACAGATATAAGTACGCTTACGTTTATTTTAAATGCACTTTTGGCGTGAACCGTGGAAAAGCTGGCCTGAAATTGCGAAACAAGTCGTAAGAGGAAGTGTATTATGATATTATGTATGTTTAAGGTCTAAATGTTGCAACTGTCAGTCTTCATTTCGCGTAATTTTGCGTTATAGTGAATACGTGGTAACATCCCACAAAATGGTCCACAACCATCCATGCACCAGGGTGTATATGCAGAATGATTCATGGTCTAGACGACTAACAGCGGAAGAGAAAGAAAATGTAGAACCACTTCTTCACCAATCACACTCATCAGATGAAATAATGATGTATGTTAAGGAAACATTCCACAAGGACATAACTATTAATGACGTTAGAAATCTGAAAGCTTCAGTTAATAAAGGTAACGTTGATGTAATTGTAAATTACTTCAGGTATGTCGAGCCTTAATGACAAATTTTGAGAGGTGGTTGCCGCAGATTACACGGGAGAAGGAATCGCACAAATGGACCATTTTCTTAATGTGTAAATTAACTACTTTCGTATTACAATAAAAATAAACTTTTCCCATTAACCTTGTTGTCTTTCTCTTCGTGTGTTCGCGTTGGGGGTACGGCATGCTAGACCGGTGCCCCCTAGGATATGAATTCGTTACTATACGTAAGTGCAATTCTGTAGGAACACTATCCATCGATAAAAGTGGTGAATTATAAGTACTTCATTAAAGTCTAAAAATCTGCCTAAAGTTACGCGATTACGTCTCCTAGTCATAGGTAAATCTGTAGGGACCAATGACAAAAATACCTAACTTCATTATTTGAAAAATAAGAATAGAACTTAGGGCCCTGCAGTTGAGTTCGATTTCGTATGAAGTTAAGTGTATTCAAAAGTAGTGTATTACTATTATTTCACTTAAAGCCAGATGTCAATCCATATGACTACGGGTGTTAACATATAGTGTAAAATGAAGTCTACACGAGACGAGTAATTTAATAGGTTGGGCTGTAGCAATATTAGTACGATTTCGCCTACGTTGAATTACGCCTACAATTACTTTCTCAGGTCTCATTGTTACGTCAGGCCTACATCTCGTCATAATGACAAATTTAGTTTCACTGAGATAGAATAAGAAAAGTATGGTAAGCAGGATGTAAAATATATTTCATGAAAAATAATAAGCGAATGTCTTTACACAATTGTTTTTCTTAATTACTGCGGGGATGCGTAATTGCTGTGACCAGGTTGACTGACTTCACCGAACATCTGCAAGTAAGTGAATAAAGTATAATTTTTAAATCGTTGAAGTTAGAAATAAGTAATGTAACAGTGAAACGCTTTATATTCTCCTACCTTTGCTGAAAAAGGTTCATTCTCCTTTCTCATTCTTTGGTCATGACAGCATTCTTCTGAGGTTTTCACTGTGACATACATTGTTCCTCTTCTAAAGTATAGCACCAAGCAAATAATAACTTAATATGTTGTATAAATGGGTGTTTACAGTGAATGCATGACATCTCTACAGGCACAATAAGTTAGGTTATAAATTACAACCGTGAAGTATAGTAAATTAAAACTTTTTCAAAAGTTTCGATTGTTCAATTATTGTACAAGCAATTACAACGGATTATCATAAAAGTTAAACTGCGGACCCTTCACAATGAACACTGCATATATTTGGGTAAGTGCTATTCCCTCACACAAGTAAAAGGTATTCCAGGAGGAGAACAGCATCCTGAGAAACTGCAGTAATCTTTTCTAGCTGTTCGGAATTTATTCATTTGATGCAGTTTCTTATCAACAGTTTGCAGTATTCATAGTGACTTTAGGGAAAACTTTATTATATCTTCACTTTCACCAACTGTCCCTTCAAGTACAATAGCATGCAGTAACTACATACACTCAAGCATTGTAACCTGAACATCACAAAATCCCTACAGATAACTTGTTTAATAATAAATACTTTAGAAACATGAGCCATAAGTGCACCTTCCATGTCATTCATAGTCACAAGTAATTCATTAAGCATCTCAGAATATCTTAGTGATCTGAACATGAAAAATTATTAAGACTGATATAACTTAAGTAACACGTTTAGTAGTTGTAGGACATAGCTGCGAGCTACTATTCTACCGAAAGCTGATTCTAATTTGAAGCAGTCTGACATTTTAGAAGCACCATCTATACTATTCTTTTCGCACAAATGCACAATGATATCAAGATTATCTGATTCAATGTAATGCACTCAGCAATTACGGTCTCCCGAAATTCTATGTGACAGTGTAAATTAAACTAGTATCACATCTTCAACTGGGCGATTTTAACTAGGAACTTCACAGAAATGGATAAAATCACCAGGAAATTCAGCAGATTGCCTCATTCATCGCATACTCTCTTCGATGTGTTATGGAATATTTGAATCATCACGGATGATGATAAAAAAGTGTTTGGCATCCTCAAAACGTATATTTAACTTGTGTCTGTGGGCTAGTTCTCCTTCAAATGTCTCGTTATCATAGAATAACTGCTATGAAAACAACCATTGCATATACTTATTTTTCAACCTTAATATCCTCAAAAACCTAGCAAATAATAGACCATTACGGCTCTAAAATGCGAAGAATAGTCTTTCTATGCTAAATTTCTTATATACGATCAGTTCTTGAAGTAATACATCCTCTGGGATATCATGACAGGTTCTTCCATTAATACGAACACAATACTGGAAAATGTTGCTTTTTCGGTTATAGAAGCCTGAAACCAGTTATATGTTATCTATTTTCACAAAAATAAACGCTTATAACGCCTCTATAGGCGTGAACACGATAACCCAGACATTGCGCGATAATATATCACGATAACGTTTATTATCACCCTCAAAATTACAATGCAAATTTTGAACAATAAATTAGTCTACTTATTAGTAGTAAAATTAAACGCGTAAATATTCTCCCCAAATATAAAAATGAGTAGTATGTCAATGCCTAGTACTGATGATGTTGTCAAACATGATAATTTCCAGTGGACGCCAAAAATGTCTATAAATCTGAATTATTGACGAAAAACAAGTGTACTATCCAATATCACAGCGGGAACTTTGCGGAAAGGGATGTAAAACAGCCATGTAAATTAAAATTTAATCTGAGTTTAAACGAGACAAAGCTTTCAAACAGTTCAAGTGAAAGTTTCACAGTATTTTAAACTTATTCTATGAATAACAATAAAGCTTTACTTCAGACAACATGTTAACACATAATACAGAAAGTTTGAGTGTATTTAGTTCCAAAAAATATCTCCTCATCATGCAGAAATTACACGTAAACTGATAATCTGAAGTATGCGATGTAATGTAGTGTTGTTGTATGTGAAGAGTGAACCAGTTCTATTCATTTTCTCTTCATTTCCTTCAAGAACTAAAAAACTTTTTGATAAAAACTAATCAAATCTCTGCGCAAGGTCATACTGTGAAGGAGAGCAATTGATGGATGGAAGTTCTGGTAGCCCATTGATATGAACGCGTTGTCATCTCGGTTGGCTGACGAAGATTATATTTTTCAAAACATCCACTCTATTTGTATACTAGGTGTTAATCAGAAATTGATAAAAAAATCATAACTAAATGGTAATCAGAGTAATAATAATAATAGAAGAAGTGGTCAGCTACATGTCAAATTATTATTGTTATGCGATACACATCACTCATTCACATGACATCTGGCTTGAACTCATAATGGTTTTGGTGTCTTGATTATCTTATGGACTACACAGACTAGCCAGTAGATTGTAGGGTTAGGAACACCAACTTCTCCGGTTATAAATCACTAGTCTTTCAGGTGACTTTCAATTCCCTCTTATTTCGCTACTAATAAAAATTATAATATATTGAAACCGTTAAAGAAACTAATGAATGCCTTAAATTTCCAACTATTCAGCTAATTTATTCAGTGACAGTTAGGTGACTGTAAATATTTATATATAAGGATATATACATATTCAGAAGTAGACTGACTGACTGACTGATTGACTGGTTTCAACACAGAACTCTGCGCCGATGTACAGCAGTTCGAGTCGCCACACTTCAATCATTACACAAAGCAAGAGAAGAAAGTAAAAAGAAACACAAAAGAGAGACAGTAAACAGAGACATGAGGCAAAAAGAATAGTAATATCGAAGAACAATATAGTTTTATTGGGTATTATAAGTCACAAGGAGTGTATGCATCTGCGCCAGCCATTAAGAACGACTTTGGGCCATATCACCGATTGTTTCCAACTATTGGTATTTACCGTCCCGAGGACCCCAACCAGGAAGTCTACACCTTCCTACATGGCTTAGACTAACTGTTGTAGATTTCATTGACTGATCAGGCCATGTTTTGGCTTGACCGCTATCAGCTCTTTTCCAACCCTACCCTATATCTACTAACATTGCCCATTGTCGAGGAAGGCGATGGCTGGGCTAGAATGCGTAACACAACCCCTAACCATCCCCTCCTTACCTAGCACTCGACCGATACCTCACCTCAATACTGCTCACCTTATTACACCTACCACTTCACACGGGAGATAGAACGCAGACACCTGTGATCAAAGATAGCTAGTCAGGCTTTTCATGTCTTCCACTTTCAATGGCCACGTCTCGCTCACAGCCATAAAGGAGAACGGAGCGGACTGCTGAGAAGTACAGAGGCCCTTTGGTCGATAACCAGTCAGATATCATGTCTACGCCAGAGACGGCGTAAACTGGCATATGCCAAACTAGCCCTCTGTATCCGTGCTGAGATTTCCTCAGCGATGAACCCGATGGCACTGGCTGATGCAACTTCGCATATAAGTGAAGTGGTAAACACGCTCTACCACTTCACTACCTATTTCTAAGCTAGGAGTCAATGTAGTTCTACTTCTTGTTCAGAAGTAGATATACAGTGAGATAAATTCACTCAAGTAAAATTCTAGTTACACTCCAGTTATCAGTGCTAGCGTTACTTTAGAATTCTTGCTTCGAAATTTTATTGATTTTGATGTTAGCTGATTACTAAATCTTACATTTTTCTTGATATTTTAATTTGTTTGGTGTGATGTGGTTGGGAGTAACCTACAGAGACCCGTGGACCCAGGTCTCGAGATTATTAGCATTCTTCAGCAAGCTACATGTTCATCTTCAAAAGAGTTGATATCTTATGGGGATTTGAATCCACATCACGCGGCGTCGTAATCGAAGACGTTATCGCTGGTCTATTCGGGTTAAGTGTATTAGGTTGATTGTTAGAAATGACTGTACTTTTAAAATTTTACTACATTTAAATAAGCGAAAGGAGAATCATAAAAGAAGATATATGTTATTACTGGATAGATGATGACCAATATCTGGATCCAGCACCCAGATCTTTTTCATTCTTATTACTTTTAGCTGAATGAATCTATACTATTCGTCACCTTGAAAGTCAGTTTCAGACTACCAAAGCTGCTTCTCAAGAAATAGGCACCAGTTATCATTTATCAGGGTATCAGTTCTCTGAACAGATATGCCATCACATTTCGACCACATTTTTGCTTTCAACATGGGAATCGGTTA